TTTATAGTGCATGTAGAAATAACTTGAATTGTTGCTCCATTATCAACTGTTTGTGCTGTACTATCCTGTGGGACTGTTGTTGTTCTGGCAAGTAACTACCTGTTAAATTCCCTGGAATCCTTTCTTCAAGGTCAACTGTCTGTGCTATCCTGTTGGACTGTTGTTTTAGTAAGTAACTAACTGTTGAATCCATGCTCAAGTGTCTGTGCTGGCTTATTTTTGAGAACACAGTAAGTTTATAAGTATTATCTTGTAGATAGTTTTGTACAAAATATGGGTGATGTACTCAGAAACTACTATTATGTTTGAAGCAGTACCATTCTGGGGAACCTGGTAACTTTCTCATATTGTGTTCTTTAATGTTCTCAAGGCTGCAGGTTTATAATGCTTATACTCAGTACTCATTCCTTGTGTTGGGTAACAAAATTAGAACAATATGTAGCTTTGTGTTTAACAAGCATTATTCTGATAAGTACTGTTATCTGATGTTTAAGATGGACACTTCTTGTGGATGTTTTGATTAGTAATATCACTTATCTATCATAATTACTCTTGAGATTGTTAAAGAAGCCTTTGTTTCTAGTTCCACTATCTTTGTCACTTTCGTCAGAGATTTCTTAATCAGTGCCACTGAAAATGTTTTTGTATTTTTGTAAGTGATTTTTCTTATTTTCAAATTACAACTTTTTTTTTTTGAACATTAATAAATTTTTTGGAACTAGTTATGATTTTGTTAGCAAAATCTGTGGTTGGCCTACTGGCAGTATTACTGGTAATTAATATTTTTCAACCTTGTTTTATTTTTTAAGATGTATCCATAATAAATAATTATCTCCTCATAATACTTTATATTTTCTAAACAAAAACTCCTTAGGTTTCTGTATTGTTGTATGTTTCTACCAACAGGTTATTCCATTAGGGAGTTTCAGTTTATTGTCTTTGATTTGTTTACAGTGGAAGTGTGAATGAAGGTAAATCACAGAAAATCTGCACTGATTTCCTCAGCTGTCTGTCTCCTAAGTTCTGTCTGACTGTGGCAGATTTCATGCTTCAGAATATCAATGCTGGAAAGCCCCATGAAGAACTGATGGATAAAATGATGGCTTTGACGGGAACTAGCGACCTTATGCATCAAATTAACCAGGCTGACACAGTGACTGGCTGGGAGGCTAGGATTCCACCTCCTCGGCTCTGGCAAGAAGTGCTGATGAACTTACAGAAAGGTGTTATCTCCCGTAATAGTATTGAACTTTCTCCAAATCAAGTAGAACTGCTCACGAGATCACTGATGAATGAACAAATTCAGAGACCAGATGTGCCTCCTAATTTTCCTAGACACGGTGGAACAGCATCACACCAAAGTTCTGCTTCTTCCAGTCATGATGTAGTGCTATTCACTTGTGGCCATCACTATACTCGTCACGTGTTCAGAACATCTATACTTCCAGGGTTTCAGGATATAGTACAGAAACTGCCATACATGCTACCTCAGACCATGAAACAATTAATGTTATGCTTCGAAAGTGAAGGCGTAATTCCCTCAGCTTGTCCTCGATGCATAGTTACCGAGATAAAAAGTGGAATGTAAGTTCATTCTTGAGGTAAAGCAGCAACTAAGAGCTTTGATTCGAAACATTGGATGTTATCATTTTATTCCATATCTTAATGTTTTTTAGTTCTTAACAACAGAACATATATTATAGAATGTTATGTTTTTTCAATTTAAGAGTATGTAATTCTTTTCATGCACAGTGTACAAAATGTCTATAATGTATATTTTTTGCCAGTGCCTTTTTCATTGTTTCAAATGTGACGTGCTTTAGTATGTGAACGCCATTTATGCTACCTTCTAGAAATCTTACTATTATTGATTTAATTATATGAAGCGTTCAGTTTTTATTTATTACAAGTCGCAACCATTAAGTTCAGGAGGAAATATTCTTCCAAAGAGGTAAATGAATAATTTAGAGATTTTTAAAAATCAGTAAGAATTTTGGGTCATGGAAAAGGGTTGTTGAGTTTTGCCACTATAATGTTGTGGTTAAAAATTAAGAAAGAAATTTAAAGCCATGATTGATGGTATAGGAAAGATCTGTAGTTTTTTGGATTAATATTTATCCCTGCTAAGCTTTTAATGTGCTATATCCTCTTAAGAAATATTACACCGTCATTTTTCTTTTTCTGCACGTAATGTCTTAAGTATATGTAGTGGTGTCATTCAACTTTTTTTTTCCCATTGTGAATCAAATAAAACATTTTCTTATGTAACTCGGAGTACATACTCTATTACACCAGACCTAAAAGCATGGCCAATATTTAGATCATCTGAATACATTCTGTGTCTCTTATCTATTTTTCTTTAATTTGTTTTCTAATAAGGGTTATCACATTCTTAGAGAGAGAAAGAAAAAAAAGAATTTTTTACTGTTGAAACAGCAACATGAGATCCTGGAAATGTCTGTACTGTTACGATCTGAGATACATAATACATGCAATTTGGTTTTGGACATTTGGCCCATTTTTTTATGTATGTAATAATGCTGCTGTTGAAATCATTACACGTAACACATGTCCGAGTGGAAAGGATGCATCAAAATTTAGCGTATTTGGTTAAATGTAAAACAGTAAAAAGTTTAGTTAAGATTTCAGATATTTAATTATGTCAATTTTAAACACAGACAAAACATTCCTTTTTACTAATCTTTTGTTGACAGTCCAAACATCCTTCATGTATCAAGTTTACTGTTGTTGTTTTTTCAAATTTTAATGCTCATCATACAGTACTCTGCATTGGTAAGGATGAACAAGTTGGTGCATCAATAAAAGCAAGCATTTTACATTAAGCTTTTTAAGTCATTTGATTGCTGCGAATCCTCAGTGTCTCATATCATATCCAATGTATATGTGTGCCTCCAGCCAAAAATGTACATTAAAGTACGTGTCATTAGAAGAAGCTATCCAGTATGTGATTTTGTGCTAATTTATTACTTACACAGCATTCAGTATTGCCCAAGTGAATTCATATTTTTATATATTGATGGTTCAGAACCATTAAGCAGTTATTTCGACACTCGCTATAAATTGTGAATATTGTAGAAAAACAAGATTCGGTTATTTCTACATGAACTATAAATAGCGAATACTGTAGAACCTCAAGGTGTTAATTATTTCTACATGAACTATAAATAGTGAATACTGTAGAAACACAAGGTTTTAGTTATTTCTACATGTACTAGAAATTGCAAATACTGTAGAAACAAGGTTTTAGTTATTTCTACATGCACTATAAATACTGTAGAAACACAAGGTTTTAGTTATTTCTACATGCACTATAAATACTGTAGAAACACAAGGTTTTAGTTATTTCTACATGAACTATAAATAGGAATACTGTAGAAACACAAGGTTTTAGTTATTTCTACATGCACTATAAATAATGAATACTGTAGAAACTCAAGGTTTTAGTTATTTCTACATGCACTATAAATAGCGAATACTGTAGAAACACAAGGTTTTAGCCTTGAATTGTTGCTCCATGATCAACTGTCTGTACTATGCTATCCTTTGGGTCTGTTGTTGTTCTGGTAAGTATTAATACTTACCAGAACAACAACAGACCCAAAGGATAGCATAGTACAGACAGTTGATCATGGAGCAACGATTCCAGGGATACTTACCAGAACAACAACAGACCCAAAGGATAGCATAGTACAGACAGTTGATCATGGAGCAACAATTCAAGGAATACTTACCAGAACAACAACAGACCCAAAGGATAGCATAGTACAGACAGTTGATCATGGAGCAACGATTCCAGGGATACTTACGAGAACAACAACAGACCCAAAGGATAGCATAGTACAGACAGTTGATCATGGAGCAACGATTCCAGGGATACTTACCAGAACAACAACAGACCCAAAGGATAGCATAGTACAGACAGTTGATCATGGAGCAACGATTCCAGGGATTCAACAGGAAATTTCCATTCTA